TGGATGAAAAATTCTCCAGAGAAATAGAGACTATAAAGAAAAAACAATCACAACTTCTAGAAGTGAAAGACACACGTAGAGAAATCAAAAATGCACTGGAAAGTTTCAACAATAGACTAGAAGAACTTCAGAACTTTTAAATTAACCCAATCAGGCAAAGACAAAAAAAAGTAATTTTAAAAATGAACAAAGCCTCAAAAAAATTTGGATTATGTTAAATGTCCAAACATAAGAATAATTGTTGTTCCTGAAAAACAAGAGAAATCTAAGAGCTTGGAAAACTTATTTGAGGGAATAATTGAAGAAAACTTTCCTGGCCTCGCTAGAGACCTAGACATCCAAATACAAGAAGTTCAAAGAACACCTGGGAAATTCATCACAAAAAGATCACTGCCTAGGCACATAGTCATCTGGTTATCTAAAGTCAAGGCAAAGAAAAGAATCTTAGGCGGGTGGATCATAAGGTCGAGAGATCAAGACCATCCTGGTCAACATGGTGAAACCCTGTCTCTACTAAAAACACAAAAAATTAGCTGGGCGTGGTGGTGCGTGCCTGTAATCCCAGCTACTTAGGAGGCTGAGGCAGGAGAATTGCCTGAGCCCAGGAGGTGGAGGTTGCGGTGAGCCGAGATCACGCCATTGCACTCCTGCCTGGGTAACAAGAGCGAAACTCCGTCTCAAAAAAAAAAAAAATCTTAAGAGCTGTAAGATAAAAGCATTAGGTAACGTGTAAGGGAAAACCTATCAGATTAACAGCACATTTCTCAGCAGAAATCTTACAAGCCAGAAGGGATTGGGGTTCTATCTTTAGTCTCCTAAAACAAAATAATTGCCAGCCAAGAATTTTGTATCTAGCAAAACTAAGTTTCATAAATGAAGGAGAGATTAAAGTCTTTTTCAGACAAACAAATGCTGAAAGAATTTACCACTACCAAGGCAGCACTACAAGAAATGCTAAAATAAGTTCTAAATCTTTAAACAAAACCTCAAAATACACCAAAATATAACCTCCTTAAAGCATAAATCTCAAAGGGCCTATAAAAGAATAACACAATTTTTAAAAATAACACAATTTTTAAGAACAAGGTATTTAGGCAGCAACTTGCATGATAAATTGAACACTACCTCACATCTCAATACTAACTGTGAATATAAATGGCCTAAATGCTCCATGTAAAAGATACAGAATGGCGGATTGGATAAAAATCCACCAACCAAGTATCTGCCATCTTCAAGAGACTCATATAATGCATATAGGCTCACATAAACTTCAGGTAAGGGGATAGAAAAAGATATTCCATGAAAATGGACACCAAAAGCAAGCAGGAGTAGCCATTCGTCTATCAGACTTTAAAGCAACAACAGCTAACAAAGACAATGAGGGACATTATATAATGATAAAAGGATTAGTCCAACAGGAAGATATCACAATCCTAAATATATATGCACCTAACACTGAAGCTGCCAAATTTATAAAAATTCCTACTAGACTTAAGAAATGAGATAGACAGCAACATAATCATAGTGGGGTACTTCAATACTCCACTAACACCAATAGACAGGTCATCAGGACAGAAAGTCAACAAAGAAACAATGGACTTAAACTATACCCTAGAACAAATGGACTTAACAGATATTTACAGAACATTCTGCCCAACAACTGCAAAATATGCATTCTTTTCATCAGCACCTGGAACATTCTTCATGATAAACCGTATGATAGACCACAAAACAAGTCTCAGTAAATTTAGGAAAATTGAAATTATATCAAGTATCCTCTCAGAGCAAAGTGGAATAAACCTGGAAATTAACTTCAAAAGGAACCCTCAAAACCATACAAAGACATAGAAATTAAATAATCTGCTCTTGAATGATCCTTGGGTCAACAATGAAATCAAGATGAAAATAAATCCTTCAAACTGAATGATAATAGTGACACAACTTATCAAAGCTTCCAGGATACAGCAAAAACAATGCTAAGAGGAAAGTTCATAGCATTAAGTGCCTATATCCAAAAATCTGAAAGAGCACAAAGAAACAACCTAAGGTCACATCTCAAGGAACCAGAGAAACAAGAATGAACCAAATCCAAAACCAGCAGAAGAAAAGAAATAGCAAAGATCAGAGCAGAACTAAATGAAATTGAAACAAAAAAAAAATACAAAAGATAAATGAAATTAAAATCTGGTTATTTTTAAAGATAAACAAAATTGATAGACTATTAGTGAGATTAAGAAAAGAAGAGAGGGCCGGGCGCAGTGGCTCAAGCCTGTAATCCCAGCACTTTGGGAGGCCGAGGCGGGTGGATCATGAGGTCAAGAGATCAAGACCATCCTGGTCAACATGGTGAAACCCCGTCTCTACTAAAAATACAAAAAATTAGCTGGGCATGGTGGCACGTGCCTGTAATCCCAGCTACTCAGGAGGCTGAGGCAGGAGAATTGCCTGAACCCAGGAGGCAGAGGTTGCGGTGAGCCGAGATCGTGCCATTGCACTCCAGCCTGGGTAACAAGAGCAAAACTCCATCTCAAAAAAAAAAAAAGAAAAGAAAAGAAGAGAGAATATCCAAATACACTTAATAAGAAATGAAACAACAGATATTAAAACTGATATCACAGAAATATGAAAGATTATTCAAGACTACTCTAACACCTTTAAGCACACAAACTAGAAAATCTAGAGGCAATAGATAAATTAAGAAGGAATGGAATGACAACCTAAAAGTAGGCTCAAAAGTAACAGGTCAAATTTAGAACAAGAAGTCACTGGGCTTCACAAACAATTCCTGCAAGAAGATTAGAATGGATTCCACATAATAGAGAAAATGAATAAAAAACTTGATCATTTTCACATATGATAAGAAAGTTACATGCTTCTCTTTTGGAGGCTGTAGATATTAGTGATAATGAGTATGAATCAAACCGCTGAGTTCTTCCTGATTCTGTCATATACTATTTGATCTTAGGCAAGTTGCTTATCTTCCTTGTGCCTCTTTTTTTCTCAGGGATAGTAGTACTTAAGTCATTGGGTTATTGAGGATGTAATTTTTCTTTGAATAGTGCTTGACATACATATGCACTTATATGTTTGCTATTATTATCATCATTTCCCACAAGAAAAAAAGAATGACCATTAGAAATTCCAAGAAAAAACATAACAGTATACTAGACAGTTAAGGTCTAAATATTAGGGAAACTGAAACATGAAATTTTCTTTTTTTTTTTTTTTTTTTTTGAGATGGAGTTTTGCTCTTGCTGCCCAGGCTGGAGTGCAATGGCACAGTCTTGGCTCACGGCAACCTCTGCCTCCCTGGTTCAAGTGATTCTCCTGCCTCAGCCTCCCAAGTAGCTGGAATTACAGGCACGTGTCACCACCCTTGTCTAATTTTTTGTATTTTTAGCAGACATAGGGTTTCACCGTGTTAGCCAGGATAGTCTCAATCTCCCAACCTCATGATCCACCCACCTTGGCCTCCCACAGTGCTGGGATTATAGGCATGAGCTACCGCTCCCAGCCAACATGGCATTTTTTTAGTAACTGATAGAGGAAAAGAGTCCATTGATTGTACCCACTGAGAAGAAAAGTAATCCAAGCATATTATTTTGTTCAGTAATGATTATTACAGAGACATTAATGTGATGTAAATGAAATATTATTTACAATATCATAATAATATAAATGCTGTTAATACTGTTAATAGCATTTTGAGTTTTAGAATTAACCTACAAACAAAACATAAAGGCTTAATCGGAGTTCAAAGCTGAATATAATAGTTGACCTAAAAATGTAAAAGTGGCCGGGCGCGGTGGCTCAAGCCTGTAATCCCAGCACTTTGGGAGGCTGAGGCGGGTGGATCACAAGGTCGAGAGATCGAGACCATCCTGGTCAACATGGTGAAACCCCGTCTCTACTAAAAATACAAAAAAAAAAAAAAAAAAAAAAAAAAAAAACTAGCTGGGCATGGTGGCGCGTGCCTGTAATCCCAGCTACTCAAGAGGCTGAGGCAGGAGAATTGCCTGAGCCCAGGAGGCGGAGGTTGCGGGTGAGCCGAGATCGCGCCATTGCACTCCAGCCTGGGTAACAAGAGCGAAACTCCATCTCAAAAAAAAAAAAAAAAAAAAAAGACTAGTCACTTCAGAAATCATCAGCATGATTAGGAAAGTTTAAAAAAAAAAAAAAAGGCTAGTCACTTTTCAGCATGACCATGAACTCAAGTAATTATCAAGAGTCAGTAGTGTTGGTTCCAAACTTGTTTGTGGTAGTTGCTATTGTAATTAGTATGCTAAAAAAATAAAATAAAATAAAATAAAATAAAAATAAAAAAAGGTCTTGGTTACACATTAAAAGAGTAACAAATGGCTATATATTTTTAGATGATAAATTTGAATGTTTAAGTTATACATGTATTTTTTTTGGCCGGGCGCGGTGGCTCACGCCTGTAATCCCAGCACTTTGGGAGGCTGAGGCGGGTGGATCACGAGGTCAAGAGATCGGGACCATCCTGGTCAACATGGTGAAACCCCGTCTCTACTAAAAATACAAAAAATTAGCTGGGCATGGTGGCGCGTGCCTGTAATCCCAGCTACTCAGGAGGCTGAGGCAGGAGAATTGCCTGAACCCAGGAGGCGGAGGTTGCGGTGAGCCGAGATCGCGCCATTGCACTCCAGCCTGGGTAACAAGAGCGAAACTCCGTCTCAAAAAAAAAAAAGTTATACATATATGTTTTTAATGATGCTTATCTTAACAGACTTTATAAGTGCTAGTCCTTAACATGTTCAATGATTTCTACTGTACTGAAAATCTTCAAGAAATATATTATCTTCTCTATTGTCTTCATACACAAAGTTATATATAATATCAGAGATGAAATCACTTTAACATTTTATCATTTTGAATCCCAAAATTCACTTGAATTTGGGAATTGTAGAAGCATATATAAAACTGTTAGGGCTAATGTGAATTTCTATTAATTAATTATAAAGTATAAATATTATACCTACCTCAGTTGTATCCTTAAGATAAAGATAGGGTCTAATAGATCTTGATTTTAGATTTTCTTCTACTGGCTCTAAAGAAAGAAATTCAAACCTAAGTATTTCCATGCTATTAAGTTAATTCTAACTAAACCCAGTCAACCATTTTCCTCACTGCAGTAAACTTTTAAGAAATATAAATGAATACTTTTATTTGCTTACATATGCATTGCTTATACATGGTTAGAACTAAGTCTATTTTAGAATAATTTGCCCTAAAAGTCTATTAACAGACTATAACTTTCAATTATTTACTATTATACAATAAAGCTATATTGTCTTGGAAAATGATAGATTTCTAAATAAAATAGAATCACCTGTGTTACTCAAAAAAATATTTTGGCTAATTCCTTTGAAAAGAGAAATAGAAATAGTCCCTTCTACCTGCATTTCTCTCATCCTCAGTTATGAATTTTATTAATCTGAATTCCAGTGGATATTCTTAAAGTAAGTATGGTGCAGGGGTCAGGCATACAAACTTTGAACTTAGACAACCTGGGTCCAAGCTGCACTTTTTTGTGCGAGTTATATAGCCCTAGCCATAGGAAACTTAAACTCTGTGAGTCTTACTTTCCTCATTTGTTAATTGGAAACAATAGCATTTACAGAAATACTGTCAGTGTTATATGAGATTATAGATGTAACAAGTTCAATATGGAGTCTGGTAGCCATTCAATCAATAGTTATTTGTTGTTCAGCTACTATATGCCAGGCACTGATGGACTTTGGAATTGTGACTCCTGCCTGATGATGCATACATTTTTAGTGGGTAATATGGAAAATAAACAAACAAACAAATGAAAACAAACAAGAGGTTGACCAAGTGCAGTGGCTTATGTCTATAACCCCAGCATTTTGGGAGGGCAGGGCAGGTGGATCACTTGAGCCCAGGAGTTCAAGACTAGCCTGGGCAACATGGTGAAACCCTGTCTCTAAAAAAAGTAAAAACATTAGCTAAGTGTGGTGGTGTGCCTGTAGTGTCAGCTACTCAGGAGGCTGAGGTGGGAAGATTACTGAGCCCGGGGAGGTCGAAGCTACAGTGAGTGTGATCAGACCACTGCACTTCAGACTGGGCAAAAGAGTGAGACCCTGTTGGAAAAAGAAAACCACCAAAAAACAAAAAACCAAGGGGTGAATAATTGAAATACATTCTGTAACAGAAAGAAACACATTTTGGTGAGGGAGAACCATAAAAGAGGTATATTTTTGATAGGATAGTCCGAGGAGGCCTCTCTGAACAGATGACATTTAATCAAAATATGCAAATGAGCTCTAAGTTTCATGAATAGAGAATCAGTGTGTCTAGGCAGAGGAGAAAACATATATTCCTCTTAGGCAATCTGACAGATGTACTGAAAAGAGACTAATGAAGATGCAATTTATTTATTTATTTTGAGATGGAGTCTCACTCTGTCACCCAGGCTGGAGTGCAGTGGCACCATCTTGGTTCACTGCAGCCTCCACCTCCTGGGTTCAACAAGTGATTCTCACCTCAGCCTCCCAAGTGGCTTGGATTACAAGCATGTGCTACCACACTTGGCTAATCTTTGTATTTTTAGAAGATTCGGGGTTTCACCATGTTGGCCAGGCTGGTCTTGAACTCCTGACCTCAAGCGATCTGCCTACCTTGACCTCCCAAAGGTCTCGGATTACAGGTGTGAACCACCCTGCCTGGCTGAAGATGCAACTTAAATGAAGGCCAGGAAGGTAGGGAATGAGGTTAAATACATATGCAAAGGTCACGATAGACAGGTCTTTGTTTCTTTTCTTTTCTTTTTTTTTTTTAGATGGAGTTTCACTCTTGTTGCCCAGGCTAGAGTGTAGCGGTGCAATCTCAACTCAAGGCAACCTTCACCTCCCGGGTTAAAAGGATTCTCGTGCCTCAGCCTCCCAAGTAGCTGGGATGACAGGCGTATACCACCACACCTGGCTAATTTTGTATTTTTAGTTTGAACATGGTTTCATCATGTTGGTCAGGCTGGTCTCAAACTCCTGACCTCAAGTGATCCACCTGCCTCAGCTTCCCAAAGTGCTGGGATTACAGGAATGAGCCACTGCACCTGGCCAGGTATTTATCTGTAAAGAGTACAAGTTTCATACTAAGTACAGTGAGAAGCTACTGAAGAGGTTTTAATCAGGAGATGATCAGCCTGCTTTTAAAAGATCACTATATGATTTAAGGAAAGAAAATGGATTAGAGATTCCTGCTACCATTATGGAGGGCCAGGTAATTAGTACCAGCCATCCCGCTAAAAACATCTTAAAAGACTAGATGGAATATTTTTTTTTGTTATTATTTTTTTTATTGCATTTTAGGTTTTGGGGTACATGTGATGAACATGCAAGATTGTTGCATAGGTACATTTTTTAAAGTCTAAAGAGCATCATAGACTTAAAAAATGATAAGAGATGCCTAGGCTTAACCCTAGGAGAAGATAAGGACTCAGATAGGTAAGCCCGACATGCCAAGCCACTTTCTCCCTGAGGGTATTTGTGATGTGAAAGTAAGATCAAGTTTTGGAATGTTCATGGGTTGAGATAGAAAAAAACAAAAAGCTGAGGCCGGGCACGGTGGCTCAAGCCTGTAATCCTAGCACTTTGGGAGGCCGAGGCAGGTGGATCATGAGGTCGAGAGATTGAGACCATCCTGGTCAACATGTGAAACCCCTTCTCTACTAAAAATACAAAAAAACTAGCTGGGCGTGGTGGCGCCTGCCTGTAATCCCAGCTACTTAGGAGGCTGAGGCAGGAGAATTGCCTGAGCCCAGGAGGCGGAGGTTGCGGTGAGCCGAGATCGTGCCATTGCACTCCAGCCTGGGTAACAAGAGCGAAACTCCGTCTCAAAAAAAAAAAAAAAAAAAAAAAAAAAAAAAAAAAAAGCTGACCGAAGGTCCAAAGATTTTCTGTTTAATATGTTCTTCACTTCCCTTCCCTCACAAAAAAAACCCACACCTATTCATTTTACCTCGGATCCAAAAGTGTTACAATCTTAGGGTGAACCAGAATAGATAAGTTTGCCACCTGGATATTACAAGGAAAGTGAAGCCTTGAATGCTTTGATATATTCTGACAAGTACTGCCTCCAGATACCTAGCATAAACAATTTAAAAAATCTTATCTGGTCGGGCGCGGTGGCTCAAGCCTGTAATCCCAGCACTTTGGGAGGCCGAGGTGGGTGGATCACGAGGTCGAGAGATCGAGACCATCCTGGTCAACATGGTGAAACCCCATCTCTACTAAAAATATAAAACACTAGCTGGGCATGGTGGCGCATGCCTGTAATCCCAGCTACTCAGGAGGCTGAGGCAGGAGAATTGCCTGAACCCAGGAGGCGGAGGTTGCAGTGAGCCGAGATCACGCCATTGCACTCCAGCCTGGGTAACAAGAGCGAAACTCCGTCTCAAAAAAAAAAAAAAAATCTTATCTGGAGTAAGGTACCTTCACCCTAGTTCTCAAGTTGTTTCTATGAATAATTTTATAAATAGTGTCCAGTATGCATTCAAAGATAATAAGACACATAAGGAAGTAAGATATTTTGAAAGTGAACCATGAGAAATAAAGCAACAGGATGTATAAATAAATCCTTTGAGAAATTAGGTTATAAAGCTTAATAAAGAAATTAAACAATGTGGGTTTATGTGGAGTCAAGAAACCTCAGTTAAGAAGGTTGATGAGAATTATGCAATTGAGTGATTGTTTGATAATGCCAGAGAAAGAGAAAAACAAAAGCAATACAAAACACTCAAATTCTCTGAGAATTGATAATGCTGGTTCCTGGCTCACAGATTTCTAAAATTTCTAACCTGAAAGTAAGTTTCTATTAAGCAAGCTGTTCATATTTGACTTCAAAAAACAATAATGAGGAAATTCTCAGTGTTGAGCTGAAAACAACCTCAGAGATTTTCTTTCTAGAAGAAAAAAACATAAAACCCTATCGACATAAAAATATATTCCTATTTTGTGAATTGTACAAATTGCCCATTCTGATATTTAACATCTCTTCTTCTTAGTAAATTCTTTTTCATGGAAATAGTTCATGGAAATGTTTTTGACAGAGACATCAAATTATCAAGAACTTTGAAGATATACATCAATAAAAAAAAAGCACCCATTAACAAATCAAAGAAGTAAATATGTTACACAGAGCATTACCTGTTGACTTACTTTCTTGATTTTTTATATTTGTTTGAACAAAGAATGGTCTTAAATTTGACTTTTCAAAATCACTCTTTCTAGGTTCAGGCTCACATTTGAAAGAGGCATGCCTGGAAGAAATAAAAATTAAAGTAATGAGAAAATTTACAAAATAAATCTAAAAAATGAATTTGGAGAAATGCTATCATAGCACAAAGTGTGAAACATTGGACTGATTGAGCAGGAGTTGAAAACATTAGTTTTAATGCCGGGCACGGTGGCTCACGCCTGTAATCCCAGCACTTTGGGAGGCCAAGGCGGGTGGATCACGAGGTCAAGAGATCGAGACCATCCTGGTCAACATAGTGAAACCCTGTCTCTACTAAAAATACAAAAAATCAACTAGGCATGGTGGTGCATGCCTGTAATCCCAGCTACTTAGGAGGCTGAGGCAGGAGAATTGCCTGAACCCAGGAGGCGGAGGTTGCAGTGAGCCGAGATCGTGCCATTGCACTCCAGCCTGGGTAACAAGAGCGAAACTCTGTCTCAAAAAAAAAAAAAAGAAAGGCCGGGCGCAGCGGCTCAAGCCTGTAATCCCAGCACTTTGGGAGGCCGAGGCGGGTGGATCACGAGGTCCAGAGATCGAGACCATCCTGGTCAACATGGTGAAACCCCGTCTCTACCAAAAATACAAAAAATTAGCTGGGCTTGGTGGTGCATGCCTGTAATCCAGCTACTCAGGAGGCTGAGGCAGGAGAATTGCCTGAACCCAGGAGGTGGAGGTTGCGGTGAGCCGAGATCGTGCCATTGCACTCCAGCCTGGGTAACAAGAGCGAAACTCCGTCTCAAAAAAAAAAAAAGAAAAGAAAAGAAAGAAAAGAAAACATTAGTTTTAGTCATTTGAAGTACAGGGGGACAGAAAACTATCGGCTGTTGTGACAGGATTGAGGGCACTCCAAGAAACTATTATTCCCAAGTGATTAACCCTTTCAGAAAAACATGCTGGAAATTACTTCAGTGAGATATTGGGGATATTACCAGACCTGAATCAAAGTTGTGGGACATAGAGTTAGGGAATTTAGATAACAGAAAGGATCATAGCATTTATTTACTGTAAAGACAAATTATGCTCCTCTAAATTCCTTAACTGGCTAGTGATGGTATGTTAAAAAGTTAATAATATTACATAGTTATCTTTCTGACCTCTGAATGCTAGAGCAACCCAGGACTCAGTCCTCAGACCTCAGATACTCACCCTTAATTGATATAATATAGTTGATATAATCCAGTCCCACACTGTAACTATTGTCTATAGGCTGATGTCCCAGATTTATAGTCCTGACTCTAACCTCTTCTCTGAACTTCAGATTTATATATCCAACTGCCCACATGACTCCTCCACTTAGCTGAATTATAAGTATCTCGAACTTAACATATTCAACACCAAATTCTTGATTTCACCCCCTTCCTGATCTTCTCCTCACCTAGGTTTCCCCAACACCATTCAACCAGAGGTTTAGGTCGAAAAATTTGCAGACATCTCTGATTTCTCTTTCTCTCTTTTTCCACTCCCAACCTATCAGCAAATATCACCGTGTCTTTCCTTGAAATAGATTCCAAATCCAAACACCTCTTTTCTCATTGTTCCCATGCAAATCCAAGACCCCTTTATCTTTCATCTGAACTGCTTCCATACGTCTCTAGCGTTCTTCTGTTCGCTCTCCCTGCTGTGACTCTTGTCCTCAACATTCTCTTCTCAATACAGCCACAGCAGCACTTGTAAAATATAAATGTGACTATCATTTCCTTCAACTGTTTCCTATCAGACTTGAGTAAAATTCAAAATGCTCCCTAACAGACAGAAACTTTTCCCCCAGTTCTCATTTCTAGGTAGCAGAATTTCCACTGAATGTCATTCCAGGCCTCTCTCTGCATGACGCTTCACCTCTCACCTCCACATGAAAACAGAGCACATTTTCTAGCTGTTTGGTTTAGGGAAAGCAATTCAGGCTCCACTTAAGGACCCTGGCATTTGCTCTTTCCTCTGCCCGTAGTATTCTCCACACAAGGGGCTGACGTGGCCTACTCCTTCATTTCATTTCCACCTCTTCAGAAAGATCTTTCCAGCCCACCCCACTTTCCCCATCTAAAACAGTAATCCCCGTTGATCATAATTTCCTTAATTTACTCTATTTTCCTTTACAGCATTCATCAGTGGTGAATTTATATTATAAATTCATTTGTTTATTTAGTTTATTGTCTGTCTCCCCACCTTATCCTAGGATATAAACTCTGAGGTAAGACTCTTTATGTGTTTTATTCACTGTGGTATTTTAGCACCTATAGCAATGACTGGTATATAGTACCTGTTTAATATTCAATGAATGCCTAATAGGCCAGGCATGGTGGCTCATGCTTGTTATCCCAACACTTTGAGAGGCTGTGGCAGGTAGATCACCAGAGGTCAGGAGTTCGAGACCAGCCTGGCCAACAGGGTGAAACCCCATCGCTATGAAAAATACAAAAATTAGCCAAATGTGGTGGTGTGTGCCCCAGCTACTCAGGAGGCTGAGGCAAGAGAATCACTTGAACCTGAGAGGTGAAGGTTGCAGTGAGCTGAGATCACTGCCACTGCACTCCAGCCTGGGCAACAGAGTGAGACTCTGTCTCAAAAAAAAAAAAAAAAAAAAAAAAATATTGAATGCATAAGATTTCTGGTAAATTTTTACTGAACTTTCTTAACATCTTATACATTGTAATGGGTTTTCAGTTTATTCTCTTTCAATAAATTTATGTAATCTTCATAAAATAACTTATCTGTTCCTTTCAAAAAATTATTTTATGTTCTTATTTAATATCATTGGGGAAAACTTCTAGAAGAGTGTAGTATACTAGCGAGAATGGGCATTGTTTGCTTCTATCTTAAATGAGAATGAGTCAAGGGTTCTTAAGCATGATGCTGGGTATACAGTCTTATTAAGGAGGTAATATTTTATCCTTATCTTGCTAAAGTATTTTTTCAAATTTATTTGCAGAGTATATATTCAGATATGAATTTCCTTGTGGTGAACCAAAGAGCATAGGCTTTGGAGTTAGACCTTACTTTGCATAGAATACTGAATACTCTGAATCTCAGTCCTTCATATGTCAAATAAGGTTAATAGTTACCTCAAGGGATTGTTGTAAGAATTATGTAAAATAGGCCGGGTGCGGTGGCTCAAGCCTGTAATCCCAGCACTTTGGGAGGCCGAGGCAGGTGGATCACGAGGTCAAGAGATCGAGACCATCCTGGTCAACATGGTGAAACCCCATCTCTACTAAAAATACAAAAAATTAGCTGGGCATGGTGGTGCGTGCCTGTAATCCCAGCTACTCAGGAGGTTGAGGCAGGAGAATTGCCTGAACCCAGGAGGCGGAGGTTGTGGTGAGCCGAGATCGCGCCATTGCACTCCAGCCTGGGTAACAAGAGAGAAACTCTGTCTCAAAAAAAAAAAAAAAAAAGAATTATGTAAAATAAATTTTAGAAAGTGAGTAACAAAATGTTGTAGAGATCAATGAGGATATTCTTTCTTATTCATGAAATTTACTCCACTTAGTCATAGTGGAGTAATATTTATTTAATATAGTGTTGGATTTCATTTTGTTAAAATAAGTTGTTGAGTGGCAATTATTCTGTTGCCTTAGAATTGGTGACCTTTTTACTCAGCTATGGAGTAAAAAGTAGCAATACATACTCTGTATTGTACAAAGATCCACCAATACTTGCAGCAAGAGATTCTCTTAGGCCTTCAAATAACAGAATACTGTGGTGAGGGGAAGAAAGAAAAATGTCAGAATTGTGAGTCATTGACCTGCTAAGGTCTACTGTGGCTTTTTCCTTTTTTCTAAATGTGGTAGGGGCAGGGATGCTTCCTCCATAAAACTGACGAGGAAATTCCTAAAGAATCACTCCTAGAGACTGGTTCCAATAAAAGATGGCATTTGGCATCTCATTCTTCAGTTGCACATCTGTTAGACACCACGCTTGCTGATTTGCCCCATGTCAAATCTGGAGCAGGTGCAATAAGCAGGTAAAGTAGGCATCCTGTACCACACTGTTTGGCGTGGCCAGGTTACTTGAGTTTCTGGGGAAATCTATGGACTGAATGTGTCTCCCTCAAATACAAATGCTGAAGCATAAATCTCTAAAGCTATGTATTTGGAAGTGGGAGCTTTGGGAGATAATTAGATTATGAGGGTGTAGCCTCATGAAAAGGGTTTGTGTTCTTCTAAGAAGAGTTGGTCTCACTCCTTCTCCCTCTCTCTATATCTGCCTTTCTCACTATCTCGCGATGATGCATGGATACAAGGAGACAGCCATCCGCAAACCAAGAAGAATCATCTCACCAGACACCCAGTATGCTGGAACTTTGATCTTGGACTTCCTGGCCTCAAGAACTGTGAGAAATAAATTTCTATTGTTTAAGCCACCCAGGCTATTGTGTGCTGTTGTGGCACCCAAACTAAAAAATTAGTAATGAGCAGTGGGGTATGGCTATAACAAATACTTGAAAATGTGGCAATAGCTTTGGAATTGGTTAATGGGTAGAGGGTGGAAAGTTTGAAAGTGCATGATAGAAAATGCTGACATTGCCAAGAAGGAGATATTAAAGGTGACTTTAGTGAGGGCTCAGAAAGAAAAGAGAATCAAGTTCACAAAAGCCTATCTCTGTAGGATTAAACAAAAAAAAAGAAAGAAAGAAAGAAAGAAAAAAGAGAAAAGCTTCCATTTTCTTAGAGAATACATAAACAATTATGAACAAAATGTTGGTAGAAATATGGGTGGCAAGGGCCATTCTGATGAGATCTCAGATGGAAGTGAAAAATAAGTTATTGGAAACTAGAGGAAAGGTGGTCTTTGTTATAAAGTGGCAAAGAACTTGGCTTAATTGCTTGTGTTTCAGCGTTTCATGGAATGTAGAACTTGCAGACAATGAAACTGGATATTTAGCTGAGGTTAGTTCTAAGCAAAGTGTTGAGGAGTGACTTGGTTCCTACTGATACAGTAAAATGCAAGAGGAGAGAAAAGAATGAAACTGTTTTTTAAAAAAGGAACCAGAAGTTAAAGATTTGAAAAATTTTCAGTCTTCCC